ATGAAATGAGGACATTAGACTAAATCAGTGCTGATTGAACAAATTTTCTGTTATAAAGTCCTTTGAGAATATGATGAAATTAAGGACACTCTCCCTAGCAAAAGCATATACAAAATATGATTATATATCAGAGGGGTCAGAGACCCTATGAAGTTCATACAAGAATCTCTTGAGTTTTAAAAGGGGGGCTAGAAAAAAATTAATATTTTTAATTTGTGGTTTTGAAAATATGGTTAAATTCTTTAAATAAAAGGAAGTCAGTATGAGAATAAAAGTAATGAATATTTGAAGATTTTAAACTTATATATATTAAACAACATTAATTTTGAATAAAAATTTAAAACTTTTTTGCCCAGGAAGATACATGCCTGGTTTGGAAAAACCCAAGCAAAACTCATTAATTTACTCATTGCTGGGAATTTATATAAGCTGGGAATGGCTGAACACCTTACTTATATATAGATGTAGGTGCTAAGCTGACAAAATAATTCATACCTTCAACATTAGAAGTAAAGCAAAACAAGATTCTTACATAAAACGCAGGACAGGATATTTCTAGATGTGAAAATGTGTGACATTCACAGCTTTCAAATGATAATAAGATGTCTCACCCAAATACCACCACTATCACCAGTTTCCATCTCAGATTGAGGAAGAAAACTATTACTTAACAAAGACTATGTATGAGACCTTTTAGGTAACTGTTTTTGGGAAAAGGCAATACTTTTAAATCCTGCAATTTCTTATTTAAAAATAATTACTGGATTAGTTTTTAAAAACTTACCTGTAATTCTTGTTCTCTGAAGGAAATGCAGTAACTATAAATATACCTACACTCTTGGGTACATTCTCCTAAGCATGAATGGATTTGGAATGCACCATGGCTTAGGCTCTGAACTGCTGAACCGCCACACTGCACTGGCAAGTGTTAACTACCTGTCTAGTTGGTAATATGCAGAGCTGACTCCAAAATTCCTTCACTTGGTGAAGAGAAGTGTTCCCATTGAGAGAGGTTTGGACCTGCTATTATTACTGTCCCTAATGAACATTAGTTTCTCTGTAGAGCTCAAAAAAGGTAGAACTGTAATACTGAAGAAGATGCTATATACTTCAAAAATGGTACTAAAATTAACACATTAAAAAACATTAAAACTAAAAATTAAAATATGTTCCTCTATAAAAGAAGCCTTTAAAAGAAATGAAAGATTCTGGTAAAAGAACTGATTGTTAACTGAGTCAGTATCTAATGTTCAATAACAGAGCAAATTACTACGATATTTAGATACTTTTAATACAAAGTAAGTCTAATTCTGTGTCCCGCAACCTAATATTTTGTGTTACTATCTGCCAACTTGAGAGTTAAGTGACATCTGCAGTGGTAACCAATTGTGGGGAAAATGTTTTGAAATGGCCAGGACCCTGAAAACTGCTGAGATTACTGCCAAGGGCAAATTGTTTGTCTTAAGGTGTAGTACTTGAGAGAAATGAAAGATTTCCTGCTAGACAATTTATATTGTATAAAAAAAGTAGGTAATTGTTTCATTTATAAAACTTCATAGACCTTACACCTTAACATAATAATTTTGATTTAAAATGTTTAAATATGTAAGAACTGAGACCTTGTTACATAAAATCCCTTTTGTCTTAAATATCCTAGATAATCAAAAGAATAGGCTACAAATAATTTTTATTATCAAAACCCTTAATCCTTTAAGCTAATAAATGTCCTTTTGTGATAAAAAAAAAATCCTCTGCAGAGATTATCTGTTCTCTAGTTACATGTTTCTAGGCAGCATGATGATGTCTTCCACTCAAGTTAAAACAGGGCAGGGTTGCCAGATAAAATACAGGTCACCCAGTTAAACGGAAATTTGGATAAATACAGCATAGTACATAATTATACTAAATAATTATTTGTTATTTACTTGAAATTCAAATTAAAATCGGAGTTTTAAAAAAAATTTTTTAGTTGTAGTTGGACACAATATCTTCATTTTATTTACTTATTTATTTTTATGTGGTGCTGACGCTCAAACCCAGCTCCTTGCATGTGCTAGGCCAGTGCTCTACCACTGAGCCACAACCCCAGCCCTGGGAGTTGTTTTGTTTTGATTTTTTATTCTGTCAATCAGGAAATGTTAAAACAGGAGAGCTCAAGGGGCCACACAATGGACTTGAGCATGGACAAGGCAAAACGGGAACTCCATTTTTCTATATCTGTACTTTCAAATATGCTGACTACCAAGTGCATGTGACTACTGAGCACTTTAACTGTGGCTACTCCAATATAAAACATGGTAAGTATAAAAATACACACCAGAATTTGAATGCTAGTATAAAAAAGTAAAATAATTCATGAATTTTTATACTGATCAGATTTTGAAATATTATTTTGTATACACTGAGTTAAATAAAATGTTATTAAATTTGCCTTTTAAAAAACACTTTCCAAAATGCCTACTAGTAAACCAAAAATTGTACATGTAACTTGTATTGTGACTTGAATTAATTATTTATTAGTGTTGGTCTCAGTGTGTTCAAGGATAGTGCTGGGCTAGAACTGTGTACATGTCTCCCCTCTAAAAAATAAATATTAGTAACATACAAGGCTATCTCTCTTACCTCTCTCTAGTTGTTAAGAGTAGGTAGGAATCATGATCTATCCAGGAAACAAAATCTCTAGGAGAAATTGTTTGCATGGACTGGTTCTGATTGCTTTAAAAACAAAAACAAACAGCATCCAAAACTACTGAAGGTCAAGTTGGAAGTCTAATATTTTGCAAATCATTCTTACACAATTAAAAAGAAATACTAGTATGTATATGCATGTATGTATGTATATATAAAAATAAACTCTCCCAGTTATTTTCAATGGAAGAATCCTTCAGAATCATTACTATACCTATTAAAAATCATAAAACAATGACTTATTTTGTTCCCTAATATGAACGGAGGTACTATAAGTTATTATTAATACTCATTGAGAAAAGAACTAGTTTTTGATAGTCCAGACACAGAAGGCAATATCATTTTTTAAAAATGTGTGTACAAGAGGAATTTTTAGATTAAAAATTTCAGACTTTTTAGATTAAAAAACCATAGTTATAATAAACCTTTAGCTTGGCAAAAGCAATCCATCTGGTTAGTAATTCTCAGATTCTACCTTACAATTCTAGTAGGTTTGGGTTTTAATTATAAGGTTTTATTTTTTCTCAACTGGCTGAAGAGTTCATACATTCATACATTCTCTTTCATACTATTACAAAAGCAAAAAATATTTAACATGTTCTTATAAAAATTCAAAGAAAATTATACATGTGTGGGTATATAAAATCCCTAACTCTCAATTATCTGTATTTCTCCTCTAATCTACTTTATATCTATTTTGAAGTTTTAAATCATTTAAAATTACCTGCAGCAAGATTAATTCTAATTTCTCAACTATTTTCAACTACTTACATATGAAGAAGTAAACTGGTTTTCAAGGTTTTTCTAAAAAATCTAAGTTGTATTTTTTTCTAAATTTTTAAAAATATTTCTTTTTTAATTGTAGTTGGACATGATATCTTTAATTAATTTATTTATTTTTATGTGGTGCTGAGGATTAAACCCAGGGCCTTGCCTGTGCTAGGCGAGCACTCTACCACTAAGCCACAACCCTAGTCCCTTTTTTCCTAATTCTAACCACAAAGATAAAAGATTATTTCCCTATTTGATAACTTTTATTACATAGATAAAGAAATAACAATGATTTTTGAAAATATATAAAAATTTATTTTATATCAGAAGTAGGCTGCCAGACAAAAATCAGCAATTTCTCCCCAATTTTAATGGTCCACTATAAATTCATATTTCATAGTACTAGTTTCCAAAATCTCTTTAAGATGAATGAAATTAAATGTATAGTTTTAATTTCATAAGTACTTTAACTCTTCACTGTCAATAGTGGAGTATCCTGTGAATCAATCTTAAATGTTTTAACATTCAGTTTCTTCTTGGCGGTCAATGTTATTCTTATCTAACCATGACCTATTTTTAATATGGATATTTTCAAAATCAGCAAGTTTCTTTTTGTTCTTGTCCATAGTCAATTAAAGATATCTAAATGACATTTTAATTTAGTATTGGTCATTTTGATAGGTGTCAATAAATCCACAAGAGAACCATAAGGTTTTCTCATATTAGTTTTTGAAGTAGTCAAGACATAAATTTACTTACTATTCATATGATTTACCTGCTAGAACCAATATATTTATTTTTCATTTCCTAACAAAGGAAAAAAATTGTAAGATAGGAAAAAACTGGTGATGATTTTAAGTGATTTATTTCAATTAGGGCTGGACAGATAAAATGTTATGATCATTTTAAAGTTAAGTCTTTATTTCCATATTTTATAAAGCTCAATACAGACTACAAAATGATTTAAGGATCTTTCCCTGAAGTAAAGGCAAGATATAGCTCAAAAATATCATAAAAAGCAGTTCTTCAAACTGGTTATGCCAATTTGTCATTAGTTCAAAATTTTGAATACAAATCTCAAAATATGTAAGAAGAATGCTTGAGGAATTAACCTCAGCAGTTATTAACTAACTTAGATATGGACTGAACTTGAATACAGTAATACAGTATATAGTTATACTATAATTAGGATTTTTAAGAAATGAAACAAAGGGGCTGAAGGGTGTAGCTAGCTCAGTGGTAGAACACTTGCCTGGCATATGTGAGGCTCTGGGTTTGATTCCCAGAAAACACACACACACACACACACACACACACACACACACACACAATCAAATAGAAAGATAATCTCCATACATCCTTATAACATGCCTCATTTCTAAATAATAAAAATCACCTCTTTATAGATGTGTGATGTCCTACCAACAAGTAGCTGCCTTTTTCTATGAGAAAGACTCTCAAACCCTCAATGGAGCATTCCAAAACCAATTCTCTGTTAGGAGCTTGGGCCCAGGAGTGTGCACTCACTACACAGTGCTTACCTTTAGAGAACAAGGTGGTAGATACAAACTGATCAAGTTCTCACCCCACACCTCCAAGAATATTGAAAAAGATCTGCAGATCTTTCTTGGTACAGGAGGGACCTCTTTATAATCTTCTTGTTGTAGAAGTTTAAGATTTTCCTGGAGGAGGAGAGAAAAGTAAAATATTATACTGAGATCATACCATTTGTATGCAGTGTTTCTTTCTGTATTACAAAATGAGATTCTGAAACAGGAAATTAGATAAAATCATAGTATTCTAAAAATGACATTCTCTTCTTTCAAAAAATAATCTCCCCTAAATAATGCATGTTTCAAATGTTCCTTAAACCCCAAATCTTCAGTAGTTAAACTTCTATTGTTTCCCTAAGAAACTGAGAAGTGAGAAAAATATGGGAATATTCTATGGTATCAAATGATCATAGTTGGAAGTTACATTAAATAAAATAATCAGTACAGCTAAGCTGAAAAGCACCAAGTCAAACAGAGATGGCAGAAATTTTCTCCTGACTCTCTATTTCTATGTAACATATACTTCATGACAGCTAACAGAAAAAGTAGCCTGTGTATTAAATGCCATAGAATCATATATGAACCATATGAATCATAAATGAATTCTACTAGAATGTAAAACTTTAAAAAATTTTAGTTGTAGATGGATATAACTATCTATTTATTTATTTTTTAATGTCTAACCCAATGCCTCACAGGTGCTAGACAAGCGCTCTAAATAATACCACTGAGCCATAACCCCAGACCTAGAATATAAAACCTAATGAGGAAAATTAATTTTGGCTTCTGTGTTTATTTTTAGTTATCTGTAGAGTCTTAAATTTAAGTATTGACATGTTGTAAACAATAAAAAAAAAATCTGAGGAACAAAAATAAAAATAAACCAATTAGTTAATATTCTCAGGGTTAAAAGAGTAAACAATTTAAAGACTAAAAATGTTCTGAGGATTTTGAAATGTGTTAACAATATAAACCTTTAATCATTAAATAAATGTTAAGAAAATAATATTTAAAATGCTTTATCCTATAATATTCAAGAAAAATGTTAAAAATACAGTATTACAATCCAAATTCTGGAAAAAGAATGGTTTACTTTAAGATCAAATAATCATACAGTGTACCTTAAAATGTATTATCAGATATCAAATATAAGAATAAAAATATTAATATAGATTAAAAGTAATATGCCTTAATACTTTGGTACTAATTTTTTCATCTTGTAGAAAATGGATTATTAGAACCCAGTGATAAAATATTTATATCTATAATTTGGCCTAAGTAAATCATTACCATAATATTAAATGGAAATTGGAAGATACCATTCTATTTGTATAATTTCCTTATATATGGTAAGTAAATATGTACCTTTTGTTCAATTTTTAAAACACAATTTAAATGATACAAAATCCTATTAATTTGTTTTCCTAACATTTAAAGACTATTACTAAAAACATAATGATTTCCTCTTAGGTGTTTTCTGACTCTTTCCAAATTTGATAAATTAGGGAGAAAAGAAAAAACCCTGAAATAACAGATCAGCAGTACTGATAAAAGACTGAATGTGTATTCTCTTTAAAATACAAAGTGCAAGACCACTAGAATCAAAGAAACAACTATTTATAAACTACTAGATTCTACCGGACTTCAAACTCCAAAAATGTGGAATTAGTTCTGGACAATACATATAGTATAGTTCATTTCAGGGTATAGACTACCATTTATTGTGTAGACAAAAACCACAGTAAGAAAAAGAAAGTAGTAAATTCAGTATTTATATTTACTCTGTATCACTGAAAAAATGCTTTAACTGAAAGTTTATTCCTCGAGTATAGCAGTAAAAAGAGTTCCACATTTCACAAATGATTCAACTTAATATCTTTTTAGACTTAAAAGGAAGATTTTTTTAAAAAATCTTTAGGCTAAAAAGTATATATATATAAACTCACTAAATTTAAAATAGTTTTTCTGTATTGGGCATCTTATAAACTTCTGAATTAACTTTGAGGAACAAGGTTTGTTAGTTGCAGAGAACTGAGTGCAATAATAATGTGCCAAAAAAAACTACAAAGAGGTGAAGAAGAATCCAAAGTTGAAATTTTTACATGAAATGAGAGCTTGTTGTAAAAGCTTGTTGAAACTATGAGGCCAAAAAAGGTAAAAAGAGGAAACACTCTCTGAAGACAGAGGAACTGATTAGGAATTCATTTATAGTCTTCATTTATGTTGGTGGAAAAAAGATTCTTGGTTCATGCCCACTAGCAGGAAAGACAATGTCTAAGTTTACTACCTTAGAGGTTTAGTGCGAAAATTTAACATTTCACTTCCAAGTACAGATAATAATCTGCCACACTAACAACTCATTTTGAACTCCTTATGAAACAGTTTTAGGAATCTACTTTCTCTTTTTACAAATTGACCAATGTTTCACTTACTATCTCCAGGGAAGAACTGTTTTGTTTCCCAGTGTGGACTAATGTTCCTGTAATACTGCTCCTAATATTCAGCTCACATGTCACAAGTTTCTAGGCAGCTTCATTAACAAGACTTGTCTACTGTTCAATGAGATGAATGCTTGGATAACACGAAAATATTACATTATAATACAAATTTCTAAACAAGAAAATAAATTGACTCATTTAATTGACTCATTTAATCGTAAACTGGTCTGTAGCCCATACTTCAAGGAGCACTGATCTAAGTCAGGAAAGTGTGATGAGGAGGAGGGAATGATGTAGACTATGCTCTGTTCAAGGACTAAGAAAATAATTTTCTGGTCTATCATCTACTCTGCATTTGTAAACTCACAAAACACATTTTTCAACTGGTTGATTTCACATCTTGGCAAAAACCAGAGTGACATACAAGCAGAGGCAGAGAAACACGAGCTCATAAGTCAATCATAGGAATTGGCATAAATCACATAAGAAGGCCAGGTCTCTTAACTCATTATTAACCATGAAGTCAGAGGGTCAAGCAAATTTTATAGTTAAATCTTCAGGGGCAGAGATGTATCTTTTGGTACCTAAATTACACATTTATACTTGTATCAATATCACTGTTTTAGATACTGTTGCTTTTTAATACCTTCTGATATTTAGTAGGGTGAGACTTGCCCTCATCATAGAATCACTGGAAAATAAATAAATCACTACAAATTTTGAAAATTAAAAGTAAACCTAAAAATTTATCAGTTGCTTTTAGTCAAGTAATTTGCCAATACTCTCAATTCAGAAATAGTTTCTATTTATTTGAATCCTAAAATTTTTTCAAATATGATTTTATTTCTAAAAATCTAATTAGTTGCTAAGTATTGTGTTTTGTTTGCTACTATTCTGAGTAAGGTCTTTCTTCAGTATTTTCTTAGCTAACATAAAGATCCAGTACATCTGATATTTTATTTTTCATTATTTAAATAAAGAATTTTAAACCTGGTTGCCTTAGATTTTCTAGGTAAGTAGTCATGATATCTAATAATGAAATATCTTTGTTTTATTTCTTTAGGCTTTGTTCAT